ACCACCACCACCAATACCACAAACAACAACAACAACCAGATGACAAACAAAGGCATCAATAACTAACCGGCTGCCTCCAAGGCACATGCCAAGGAAGCAGCACTTAAAAACCTCAACCTTGTATTCGCCTCCAGGGCTATGCCAATTACGCCGCTGGCCAGGCTGGAGAGTGCACCTGTTGGGACGGCTGCCGGCTGCGAAGGATTAGGGGGTGCTAAGGTCCCGCTGCTTGGTGGTTCAGAGTGCAGTGGCATGCAGAATGCCGACCTGAGGGACAGCATGTGGAACTTTCACGCCTTTGTCATGTTGATGTGTGTGGTGTAAGAATTCAGGGTCCAGTGATGCACGACGTCGGAACTCAACCGTGAGAGTCAGGGTTGAGGGACCATGTAGTCGTGGAGGAGGCAAGACAACTTCAGCAGTCACCTTCGCATCGTGAGATTATATGTGCCGAGAACAGGAAAGGATAAGGCAATGTGCAGAAAGGTGATATACTTGAAGGGTGCCTGGCAGAAAACGTGGTAGGTCGTCTGCATCGCCTGTGGACTTCGAACCCTATACAGCCCACGACAATGCTTGCAGCAGTGGGCACCGACGACGTAGGTTGTGCCCCAGCGCGGCTTCTGCAGCTCCACCTGAGGCATGGAGAACAGAGTCCAGTCCTCTGCACAGCTAGTGCTTCACTTTGATAACCACAACAGAAGGATGCAACATACACCGTGCTAAGGCAAGTGCTAACACAACTCCGAAGCCTCATCTATGTTCTATGCAGAGGCTTTGCATTGCAGCATTGTCAGACATCTGCAGTGCCACCATTGCCGAATGAGCTTCCAAACCACGTTGTCAAAAAATGTCGAGAGGTACATTGATATCGTCAGGGAGCGTGGTATCCCAGCCAGCCAAGGCAAACAAGCCCTGCACCTTAGAGCTGAGCTCAATTAGAAGCAACGGCGGTGTCCTGCCCTTTGCTATCCTGTCACTCTGAGTTTGACTGATAGAGGGTTTGCAATGACACCTGCCAGCCACATATCATGTTCAAACACTGCCGGTAGACATGTATGACTTGGACGGATTTGGCCAACATGCCCATGACTCTACGATAGCAACAACGTCTGCTCGAATCTGGTAAAGGTAGCCTTGAAGCACTGCAGTAAATAGGGAACCTGAACAACTTGACGTCCAGCATCCGGTATATCAGAAGGACGGAGCTGCACAGAAGAGAAACGAGCAGCGCCGTACTGCTGATAGTGGTTGGAGACTCTGATGGTCCGGCACCCTACAGACAGAACTGGAGTCTGAAGTCAGTGGAGAAGCCCCGCAAACAAGTGCTGACAGCGGCGCCAATTGCCGAGCGTTCAAAGTACCTTGGCTGCAATCGAGACTGACGGGACCGAGACACAGCCACGAATCATGAACATCAGAAGAATAATTGGTTCAGAAGTAATGATATCGACAACCCCACGTGAGCTTCCGAACGCGGCCTTCGGGAGTCCTGCCCGTGCTAGCAAACATAATAACAGCCATACAGAACGATTAATCTGTACATGCTTGGCTGTGCTGAACATAGACATCAGATGAACTTCTGAGATGACAACATATCAGCAGCATTAATGCTTCCAGCTGCGGGTTGGGTCATACTGTCAAACCCTTCAAACGGGAACCTGTTGGTTCCTTAGGAGGGATCTTTAGGCTTAGGCGTATTGAGGCCTGAAGTCGAAGATGCAAAGACCCTTCCAAAAAGCCGAGGCTCTGATGTCGCCGCCTGCTAGCAGCCTCCAAGAGCCGACTGCGATCCTGACTCTGGGAGAGACTCTACGAGGACAGGCGCTGGCGAGCCCATAGGTTTTTAAAAACCTAAAACCTATGGTGTTAAAAAACGATGGCCTGCGTGTGCCCCCTTAGCGGGCTAATGGAGGCAAGGTGCCTACTTTCGAAGCACTCATGCGACAAGGCAGAAGCATGATACAACCAGCATCTTCCCGTAGAGTCCGTAGAGTCATGAGCCCAGGCCTTTCCTAAGCACCGGCCTCGGCGTAGAGCTGAGCTTCTGCGGAGGGCTGGGCGGAGCAGGCAGCCGCCCAGACACGGCTCGCCTTTGTCGGGTCAAAAGCGCTACCAGTAAGCAGCGTTTCGTTGAGTCTTCAGGGCTTTGAGGTTCCACATGCTCGGTGCTTGGATTCGGAGAATGACGAGCTTCGTCGGCTTCTGGATCGGGTTTGAAGGGTTGGAAAAGGCTTGACGAGCCTTGCGGCCCATTCAGAGACTGCTACCACCCTAAGCCTGGCCTGGTTGGAAAGTTTTCAGTCAGAACACAGTCCAGGTTTAAGAGATGGCAGTTCCGGAATAGCAACGTCCCGACATGGCTGCAGCACCTTCCGCTCATTGTCCAAGTATCGTGGAGCTTTGGATTCGGCATGTGTAGGTGCCATGGTTGGCATTGAACCCCTGAAACTCCGAAGCCGAAAGCCTGAATCCCCGTCGAAATCCTACGAAGCCACGAAGCCTCGATTCCTAGATACTTATGTATGGACCTGCAAGCCAGGAAGCCTGTCGAAGGTGCTGCAGCTCCACCCAGGACCTGCTCGGAGCGAGTCCAAGACTGCTCAGGTGCAGGGCAGTGCAGGGTGTGCGTATGACTCTGCCGTTGGGGGCATGGGGTCTGGCCACTGACTCGGAGCTGGAAATATTCATAAAACGAACGTCTGGTGTAGAGGTCAGACATGAGCATAGAATGTTGAAGACGAGTGGGCGTCTCTCCACAAACACGGAACGAATCTCCACCATCTAGTCACGATGCTTTGAGTCCTTAAAGCCTTCCCACAGCCTGAAAGTCTTGAAATGCCACTCGAGCTCTGAAGGCCAAGAAAGCTCACTAGAACCTCAACCTCACTTTGCACCTTGTCGGCCCTAGAATTTCAAGCAGTCGTCCCAGACCTGGAACTCTGAAGGCTGAAACCTGTCCTCTTCCGGTCCGCGGCGGCAGCCAGAAGTTCGCGAGCCTCTACCAAGAGGTGTTGTGGTTTGACAAGTTTGGGAAGCTGACATTGAAGAGTTCAGGGCGATCTCACTTCAATGCTTTGCAGCTGAGAGTGCAGTGTTTTGAATGCTTCTCGGTGAAGGTCTGGTCTTGGGGAGGATCAAGCTATCAAGCTCTGATTCCCTCGAACACTAAATACAAACGAGCAACTCCACGCCTCGTTGCAGAAGGAAGTAAGTAAGACACGACCTGAACAAAACCAACCTCAAACCTTCCAGATCCTGTTTGGCACAGGCTGTTGTTCCAGCCGGTGAGTTGTTCTTGCTTTGTGCTTAACTGCCCTGACTATACCCACGCAACACCTGTCCTGTGCAGGTAGCTCAGCTCATGCTTGCTCTAGAATGATCGTATTCTGCTGCGAGAGCCAAATCACTGACAAGCTTCTTGATCGATGCAGGAGAGTCAAAGTGTCAGAGGCATGGTACAAGTTGAAACTAGCGTAGCAAAATCAACATAATTACAGTTCAGTAACAGTCAAATGCATATTGCCAGAATAGACCCAACCTGTTCGTCTGATCATGTGTTTTGAAGCTTGCACTCGCCGTCAAACCTGGCCACGCCTGGGAGCTTGCGGGTTGAAGCTGAGCTTCAGCGTGTGCGAGGCTCATCACCCGGACGTTCGACACAACAGGTTCCTGAAGCGGGCAGCGGCTGGCATTCGACGCTTGACGTCTGACGACAGGCAAGTTTCAAGTTCGCCAATCACATTCACAGGTCACTGTGACACAGATGTAGGCTGTCCCAAGCCTATTGAGCAAGACCGTCAAAACCAAGGCAAGCGAAACAAGCTGCACTGTTCTGCATACGCGCTACCGTCAGCTGCGGCGCAAGGTATCCAGCAACGGTCATGGCAACTGAAACCTCAGACCGGAAACCGCCATTCAACGGACTATATGATACAAGAGGCTCAACTAACTGGATGAAGGCTTCAGCACCTTCCCGCCAAAATCTCCTCTGTACCCTCTCACCAAGATCTCCATTGCCGTCAAGCTGCCTCGCCCAACATCCAAGCGAGCAGCCCTTCACACAATAAAACATGCAAGCCTGAAGCGGCAAGTCTTGCAGCCTTTGCCCGGATCCAGCATAGAAGCGTTCAGGCCGGGTTGTCTGCTTCACCCTGCACGTGCCATGAGCACCTGCCTGCATCCCCGAAACACAAGCCTCTCTTGAGAGCACAAGCTTGCCCTAAGACACAACTTGATCCCGGATCGTCGCCCCGAAAGACTCGACATACCTCACTCCGGGAGACTCTGAAGTCCACACATCCTTAGCTTGTTCATCCCAAGAGACGGCGCAAGAGGCCCGCTTTGTGGCCACGCCAACCCTGGCAGATTGGAGTGCTGAGCTTCGAAGGTACTGGTTACATACGCAGCCCAGACCTGAACTCCAACATCCAGGTGGGAGAGCAGGGGCTGCCCGGGTCTGAGTGTTGCAAACTCTTAGGTCTTAGGTTCCATACAGTACTGAGATGCTGCAAACTCGAGATTTCGACGTGTCATTGACCTCTCCGGATCAGACCCCGGCGAATTACTCATAGTGCCGTATGACCGAGCCAGGGAACGTCCAAAGACTCCAGTGAAGCCTGACACGTGAGATGACATGCCTCGGAGAGGGCACATCCTGAACCGGGCTCGACATGGCTTCAAGGCGAGGGGAACATGCGACGGATTCAAAGGATGCAGCCCTTCCCCGAAGCCGGGAAAGCTCAGCTCGAGAGTGCATATCAGAGCAAGCCTCTCCTACACCTCAACAAACACGTCCCCCAGCAACTTATCCTTCATGTGCTGCGTACCTCGTGTAGTGTCTCGTGTTTGAAAGCGACTGAAGAGCAGGATGGCGGAGCGGACAGCGACACGAAACTCCACGAAGTTTACATGAAAACGGCATGCTTAGACAGCTCAATGTAACAAAGCAGAACTGCGGGCTCGCATCCACAAAGCGGTCATTGATCAATCCACCTGGCCTGAGCACAAGCGGCCTCGCAGGCGGAAGGGGCGCTTGGGTATTTTGGGCTTGAGTGCTTTCCCTTTTCCTTCCCTCCTCATTTTATCGCGCCCCAGTCAATATGTATTTCGGGACCGGGAGGCGACTGTATTTATCAATTAGCGACGACTGCAGTCGTGACGAACCTGTGCCGAAGCTCGCTCTTGCTCTCGCGCTCTTCTCGCCCGCTGTCTCTCTCTCTCTCTCTCTCTCTCCTGGGCATGGGGGCCGGTCAAAGTCCCCGGGCTTTAAAGCCCACCCAATACCTTGATTGGGTTTCGGGGAGTGAGAAACGAGTGTAGGACATCCTTTTTCGCTGCAGCCGCAAAGTCTACGATGACGATTTCAGGATGTATGTACGCTCTCATATACACATTTTTTCCTCCCCCGGTGTTCCATGACATTTGAGAAGAATATCTCTCTGTCTCTCGCTCTCTCTCTCCCTCCCTCTCCCTCTCTCTCCCCCTCTATGTCTTTCTAAAGGCTTGAGGGCAGGCTGAAACTCACCGTGGCGTGAGACCGAAACTGACCTCGAAAACCCTGAAACTCACAACTTCCTGTCTCTGAGATAAGGGAGTCTCACAACATTCGAAACCTGACGATTGCAAGACCGCGTGCATCAGAAAGTATAAGTTGACTTCCTCTCCCAACCGCTGTCCTTTCCAAAACTCTCTCAGGACTGCCAGGGGCCACAGAAATTGAGGGACTGTCCGGGGGCTGCAAGGGACTGGGGACTGCAGCATACAAGCTCTGCGGACTGGGGAACGGGAAGGTCAACAAAAAGGGACCAATAATGTTCAACCTACTTTCGGAGGAGCAAGGGTACTCTGTCAAGCTGATTCATTCCAATGGTCACTCACGAGACCCTCAGGACAGACTTCGTCGACGTATTGCATGTCTACCACGGACCGACAATGGACCCCTAGGATGGCGCGTTGCTGTTGGCACGCATGCCTGGCATGGTCTTGTAGCTGGCTCAAGCACTACAGTGAAACTTGGCTGCGGCTGTGATCGTCACTCGTTCCAACCATCGCCCACGTTGGATCAAAATAGCCTTCGACACCAATGCGAAAATCCATGGACACCCTAGTGTACATTGTCGTATTCGCATTGATATAGTGCCGGCACGAAGAACCGTGGAAAGCAATGATTTCTCCTGGCTTGGCCGCGATAGCATGATAATCGCCTGGGGCTCTTTCCATTTACCAAATAGCAAATAAACAAACAAGTATGTATATACATATATATATATATACAACTACAAATATAAGCATGTACGTTGCGATATGTGTGTATATGTGTTTGTGTATGCATGTATGCATGTACACGCATGCATACACACAACTACCATTTATGTGTTTAATTCATTGATCTATGTTTTGTTTAGGCATATATTCACGGAACGTATATGTGGTGGACTTGATGCTTCTCCTCAGCCTCAGTTGATGAGCCATGAGGTCATGCCGAGCCGCTTTCGGAACCACAGACCCGTGACCAAGGAGCTCCAACTACAATCCTAAGCATGCTCCAGAGTCTTTACCTGTACATGTTGTTGAGAAACCCACGCCTTCATCAGCAACAGACTCGCAGTGCAAGTCCACTTGCGTCAGCTTGCGATCCGTCAGTGGCACCCAAAAGTTCAGCTCACCATTCTGATGCCCATATGTAGCATCATTGTGGGCCTTGAAAATCAGCAGCACACAAACTGCACAACAACGGACGGTCCAATTTTGACCACAGTACTTGCACGACAACCGTATTTTCAGGCACTCCCGTTCTTGCTGATTCTGCAGCTGTGTTCTGTCCAACCGTGTTGATACAGTCTTACATGTGGCTTACCAGCGTTTGCCGATTGCTGTATCTTGCAGCTGCGTCGTCATGCATGCTCGTAGAAGTGGAAACCCTCGCTGTATAGGCCGCGCTGATTGTTTGTTCTTGATTTTCTAACACTGCCTTGCTCTGGGTCACCTTAGCTATCGCCAAAGTGTTTCAAACAATCCCTATCTATGCTGGCTCCCGATTAGCACCGTCTTCCGCAATTGAGAGGTTTTTCGGCCATAGAAGGGTCCTGCGTATAGTTTCCGTGTCAACTGAGATTGGCAAGTTGCTCTTGTGTGTTACAGTTAAGATTGTTGTCATTGCAGTTACGATTTTCATTAACATCAATACTTTTTGTTCTGCTATGTCGCTGTTCTACTTCGCAACTGTTGGGTTATATGCTTCTAGAATCTACTACATCAACTGTCTACTACCTACTAACTATTCCTCTCACTGCCGGTAAGAGGGCGATGTTTCGCGGGAGGACGGACCAACGTTAATTCAAACCGATGCTCAGCTAACACCGGCTACTACTGCGACAACAACAGCTACTACTGCTGCGGCTGGTACTACAACAAAAACAACTACCACTACTACTACGACTACTCCTACTGCGTGGGGGATTGATCTCGACTAGGTTGCTGCTCTCCCCACCAGAGCTGTAATGAATGTAGGTGTGGCTGGCTTGCACTCTCCACAGACTGGACCCTGTCTCTCTCACACTTCCACACGTGCAATCCTACGCAGGCAGAACCGGCGGCCGTTCCTTTTGCACTCACTGCCGGCGGCGGTTCGTCTGTGCAACGGGATAGCTCTGATTGCTCAGGATAGAAGACACTTATAGCACTTAGCTATGGGCATTGACTTGAGCCAAACGTTGCGTGGGCGGTCACATAGAAAGGTAAAGACGAGGGACGCGTAGCGTGCCCCCTTAGAGTCGAGGGACGCGTAGCGTGCCCCCTTCTCTTGCACTTTACACGGTCTTGCTCACAGCTCTTATAGTGACACCTTAGAACTTGACAAGGCATCGCAGTCCGTTCGCACCCCCCATGAGTTGCGTCTCCGACGCTGCTCACCCGGAAGATGGCACGATAGGACAACAGAAAATGTTCCGCCGCAACGTTGACATTGAAAATCAGAGCTTTGCATCCCAATTAGAAACGTTGTGACACTCATCTACGTCAGTAACGATCCCCTGAAATGGCAAACGAATCAGGCGTCACCGAAGAAAGAAGCATTCGCGATGGCATTCCATGGGCGAAGCTCAGAGGTCACGAACTGATAGGCGAGGAAGACCAAGCGTTGATTCATCTCCATCTTCGCGTGGTCGCAGGATCGCGGTCCCAGGGCCGGAGGTTTTCCTCTGGATACTGTTCCCTTTGCTTTCCTTTGTCCTTGCCTTTGTTTCGGCCTTTGCCGGCGGTGTAGTCATAGTAGGTGTTGGCGTTCCAGCCTCCATGCTGTTCACCTCCGGTTCTCTCACGCCCTTTTGAAGGTCCCTTGGCCGAAGAAGCGCTTGCACGTTCCTCCGTAGTGACAGGCGTGTCCAGGATGGAAGTACCACCTGGAGGGAGATAGTCAGCGGCCGAAATGTGGTGTAGGGCTTCAGTACGCTTGGTCGTCGGGTTTTGCTGTCTCTCAGCCTTGGATCTGTTCAATCTGTCCATGAAATGCGCAGGCATTTGCACATTGTGGTCCACCAGCAATCCAATGGTCTGGACTGAATGATCGGCATGAGTCAGCAGGATACCGACGGGGTCGATGTACAAGAAGTCCACCGGTCCAGTTGGCGTTGGTCGTAGCACTGAGAATTGTTGGTGTCCTGTCACCATCGGAATCACCTCGCACAGGACGTTCAGGCAACAAAAAGTGCATAGCCTTCACATCTTCATCCCTGTTGCTCTTCAAGTACGTAGTAGGGTTGAAGTTGTCCCTGCCAATTCCCATCATGTTGGCTCCCCGCGTAAGCAACGAAAGCATCTGATTCGTCCGGAAGCGCTTCAAAGTGTAAGTCCCGTTGGGATCGTACTGCTTGAGATTCTCAGGCTCCTTGGCAAAGCGAATGATCTCCTCATCAGTCACATCCCTGCTCACACCCGTCTCTCTGTCCACTACAGCCAAAGATCCCCACTTTCCGAGCACATCATAGCGTTGGCCAAGTGCGAAATTCTCCTTCATCTGAAACAACGGCATAGTAGCCCACTTCGCGAATCCTGACCAAGCCTTGTAGATGGTCCTGCATACCACGAAAGCCATATACGAAAGAGCGACCATGTTGGCGTCAATGCAATGGGCATTTCGCTTCCCTGAGTAGTAGGATGGCTGCATGGCGGTACGTGCGAGTTGTAGCTCAGGATCGATGTTCAAAGACTGGCCGGCGATGAGGACGGGACGGCGTTCCTGTGCAACTGCATCTGGTACTGCGTCATCAAAGTCCTCTCCTGGCTCTGTGTCCATTTCTTCATCAGGTTCCTGTTCTGGATCGTCCTCCGCGATGACAGATGGCTCTGGGATTTCCTCAGGTTCCGCAACGGTCTCTACCTCCATGGCTTCCTGCTCCTCTTCGGGCGCCTCAGGCACTGCTGCTGCCGCGGCTTCCATTGTCTGAGCAATGAAGTCACTGGGGATCTCCGTAGGAGTCTCCCGTTGTGGAGAACCTTGGTAATATCCGCTAGAAACGAACTGTGACCAGCAAGACGTGCATCGGGAGAAGCATGCTGGAACGATGTTGTAGCATGCCGGGCACACCCTCATTCTCCTTCCATCCTCGTCTCTGCGTAGGTCTTCGGGTCGCCAATTCTTGATGACAAACTTGATTCCTTTGTCCATGTAGTGATGCCGAACCGTGTTCTCCCTGTGGGACTCCAGGACAGTCGTAAGGTCTCGAATGATCTGCTCCTTGCTGGTGTCGTGGGGTCCAGGAGGCATCTCGCAAAGCAATTCCATGATCTTGCTTGGCGTTCGGTATCTCTCGAACTCAGGAAGCAAAGGTGATGCATTGTAGTCCAACACCATCTCTTTCTCCAACCGTTCATCGTAGATCTTTTCCACCAGAGCGAAAGAGTGTGTATCTTGAGGATCCGGGACGCAAAACCATACCTCCTTGACGAACTGGAACGGTATCGTTCGGCCAACGATCATGATGCCGCTGTCTGTGATACGTCCATCTTCTCGTGC